CCGCGAAGGAAATACAGACTACTGAATTAAAGCTATCGTTTACCGGACAATATTACCTTTTACACACCTATGCGCGTGCAAAATATATTGTGACATCATTTGAGAACTGGAAGTATGCTCGTCTTTGTCACAATGCTCGTTTTTGCAAACAAAAGCCCATGTGAAATTAAAGTGAATGTTCCACATCTGAAGCTATGAGGTGAGCATCACATATGATGAAATGAGCGCACTTGTAACTGTAGGTGTGCTTTTATGTGCAAAAGTCTGTCCTAGACAACAAAAGCTCACTATTTGGTGAATATTCCCCTCCACCAGCTTGTGCGAACCCAGTTCTGCAGACTTTAGGTAGGTTAGCTTTTCCACCAGAATTTTAGAACTTTGAAGTAGAGTGACGTATTTTCCGCAGAAGTCAGGAAAATAGCGCAAGACAACCCTTTATCATAGAAGAGCTGAATTAAACACTAGAGATTAAAAACTTTTCCATCGTTTCCAATAAAAAATTGTTACCCATCATTTCACGTTGTTCGCCGGGTTGTAAAATGCGACCCATGCGATCCTCATGCTACACCGGTGGTAGGAACGCTGCAAAGCACCATGCCTTCCATTTGGCACGATGCATCAGCCGCAGACGGCCATGTTTTGATCAGACCCAGGAGCGCGGTGCCGCCCACTCTAAGCCGTTACACTGGGCACGCCTCTGGCGCAAGGGTCGGCGCGCGCGTCTCACCCGCGCTGTAACGCTAGCTGAGCGGCGCGCGCCATATTTAGGCGCGTGACGCGTGAGGCTGGCCGGCAGCCAATGGCGGTACGCGGCGACATGTAGACACCGGGTCAGACTGCCAAAGGACAGACGCACATCCCTAGGGCCATGAACACACTGCGCGAATCCGGACGGCCGCGGCTCAGACACGCACCTCTGTAGTCAAGGACGCGGGAATCGGAGGGGGGGGGAGGATGGAAAAGCTCTCGGAACGTTTACGATTAGCCCTATGGGCGCTGACTGAAATGAAGCAACCAAAAAAAGAAGGAAACACCCGTCCCCACTAAAAACCGCCACCACCACCTTGGAGAACATCCCTTGCGCTTGTTTGCATGAATCTATCGACAACTTGATGTAGATAGGCAGAGCACAGCCATGGAGCTGGACACGCACCTGTGACAGCAAACCGTCCTTCTCGCAGTGAAGGTCCCTGAGCCATCCGGGGCCAACTACTCCGGCCGTGGGACCTCTGCGTCAGGGCGGGGACCGATGTATTATGCGTCCCTCTGAGAGCCTCCAGATCGACCCGGGAGCCCCACTGCCGTATGGCAAGAATGGAAACCGGCATATATCCGGGCTTAAAGGGAAAGATCGGAATAAGGAAGGATATGAATGGGTCACCTAGTGTTCTACTCACGGGGCTCCTATACGGAAAGAGGACAGGCCTCTTCTGTGTTCAACGGACGTGCCTATCAATGCGCGCGGCCGTCGGCTGACAGTGATAAGATGAAGAGAACTGTCGCTTCCGAAATAAAGGGGGTTAAATCTGCTTAAGGGGAGTTCTTTTCACAGAGGACCATTCATCACGCTCTGGACCCTTTATTGTCAAGACTCTGGCCACACATCATCATCACTTCAAAATCATGCTGTCGGGGAACTGGTGCGACGACGTCGCCGAAGAAACACCCGCCGCAGTGGATGCTTTGCCTTCGAAGTAGCTGTGTGCGCCATAGTTGTCGCAGCTATTGTTGACAAATATGGAGGTCCCGCATGTCATCGCATACGTCATACTGGAATCGCGAAATGCAAATTAGGGTAGGTCGCGTGAACTAAGCATGCAAGGGGCATTTAAAAGCGATGACATTCGGTTTTCAGTAGAGATGCAGAATACTCTTTCGACAAACTTGTACCGGCAGCGCACCGGCATCAGAACATCACCGTCATTGGCACCAGGTGAGAGCTGGCCGGCGCTGGATTATTGGTAATAAGGCACGGTTCGTTGGCGTGGGTTTGTGGTTGGTGGACCGCGTTGGGCCACCATCACGCAGCCGGTAAATCATCGATGAATTGCAAATATCGTAATACCGGTGCACGCGGTCCAACAAGGCCGTTTGCACTGGGGTTATACTGGAAAAATGGCGTTACGTGTGATAGGCTAGAGTCGACGACTTTCGGCTGCTACCAGCATTGGTGGCACATCTCAGGGCTTGTAACCTAAGCCAGAAGTTGCTCGCGCCAGCAGTGTTGACATGGCTAGTGCAGCCGCCCTGTGTATTGACTTCGAATACACTTTTCGCCGTGCCATGCCCCAGTCACAACCCATTGGGATGTTTTCTATGCTCTGCGGACTGGCTGGCGCGTCAGGCCTGCTTTTCAAACATGTTGGCGGTTTATCTTGTTGACATCCCTAGTGGCCGACAAATAGCACCAGGGCTCAAAATTGTAAATTGGGTTCACGCTAAAACTACGAGGGCAATCCAGTGATGGTCACGATTTTTATCATCCTTTTGGAGGTGACTATCGCTAGCCAGCCAAGTGTCAAGTGGACTAAATCTAGTGCACCTAAACTAAGAATCCAGCAGCGCTATACTCGAATGTACGGTCGCCACAATGGTATGAATTGAATTGTACGCTTTTTGCGAAAAAAAAACTAAATGAATTCCAGAAGAAAGCACATCAGGGTGAAAGAACCCTGATTTGAGAAACATTCTATGGAAATGGTTTTATTGACGCTGCATAACGTTCCTCAAATCGCTGAGATGTTACCCCTTTTTTAAGTCAGCGACGTAATGCAGTCATTCTCGAAGACGCGAAAACAAACAGCTCCTATACATAAACTTATGTGTAAAATGGTTTTTTTTTCACTGCCGGGTTACCAAGATATGCTGCTCTGACAATAGAACGCTAGGTACGTAGGATACGCAGCAGTGCGCCAACACTTGGGAATGTGACAAGGCATACCCCGGTGAAACTCTATGACTATATCTTTAATAATAGCACTGCGGAGTGTCACAACTGGGCCAACAAGATGCACTAAGTAAAAAATTTGCAATTGTTTTGAAGTTCAAAGTCGGGGTGAATGTTCTGGGTCAGCTCCAGACTTTTTCTTTCTTTGTAGCCTCAGATGCTAGTTCTGAAATGTGCAAGTTTGGTGTATTAAAGACAGTTAAGTTGGATATTTGACATGGCCTCCGTAACTGTGCGGGAATTTCACATTGATCTCCTTCATAATTTGAATTATCATAACTGCCGTGTTGAAAAACTTCTTGTGAACTCCTACAACCAAGCCCGCGGTGCACATGAAGTGAGATTATCAGAACGTCTCCGCCATTATGGATATGAATGACGTCACACAAATGAGCGTTTGTGATAGGCACAGCGGGCGGCGTAAGCCATGTAGCGAGAAATGCATTGACGGATGATTGAACATGTGTGTTGCTAGACCACGTGATGAGCCGCTGGTATATACGTGCTTAGTAAGCACAGTCTTAAAACGAGCTGGGTATTCAAATAAATAATGTTTTCAGAGCCAAAACACTCCAAAAGCAGTCACCATGTTAAACGCCATTAAAAATGAAACTGAAGTCATCGTATGACGTTTCGTGGCAAATATGACTCCACTTCCCATGGTAGTGGAGTCGTATTTGTAGGTGTGTCTCCTAATTAGAGCATTTTGGCTCCCTATTTCTTCACAAATATTTTTGAACAATTGGCGTGTTTCTAACAGTACATGAAATATATGCTGGTGAACGCAAAAGCAAATAGGAAGCATTACTTCCACAGCGATTAACAGGGAGTCCATTGGCATTTCTCCCCTCCGAACGACCGCCTCAAACTGATATTAGGTGTAATGCTGAAAGATTTAGAGAATGCTAGCGTTATCGACTGTATGAAATAGTCTCATCTAACAATGAGTGAAAACATTAATAAAGGTGGCATATTCCCTTCACATTCATAGAGAAGTCAACTGGCTCGTAGTGAGGTATCGAACAGAGGCCTTGATTAAATACTACTTTTCTTCAACTTGCAGGGACATGTCTACATTCCGACGCCAATAATTACCAGGCCACGAGTTTCATGGGCGGAGGTGTATCTCTTGAAGTCATTTAGGCAATAGAAACCCGAGTTACTAAGAAACCCGATTTTATATACGCGATATTTCATAGAAACCCGAGTTATTTGTACTGTATTTGTACTATTTATAGGAAAAAGTACAAAGGACTGCACAGCACCTTGGAAAGGAAACCTAAAGAAGCCTTTTAATGTCACCAGGTCATACCTCTATGTCGTGTGAGTTTGCGTGCTTCGCAATTTTTAGATTACTTAAAATCCGCCTTGTTATGCGGACACAAGCGGTTCCAGTGGTTTCATAACACGTTAAACCCAGTGGCGAAAGGAGAGCCGGGAAACTGGGTGGACCAAACTACATTTTAAAGCCAGGTATGTCGCACAGACATTGCCTCTGTATGCAGATCGTGTCTCTCGCGTAGCAAAACGAATAAATTAAGCGTTGCAGTGATTTGGCGTACCGCAAATAATTACTGAGCTGTATGCGTCGATGCTGTGGAGCATTTTCCTGGTTCGTTAATTTTGCTGCCCTTTTTTCAGAAGCTCGCTCTTCAAGCTGTAACAGTATGATAAAAGGTCTGTTTTTAAACTGGTTGATAAAAAGTCAATCATTGTTCGGACTCTTCGCGCATGAGCGGCATACATAGGCATACTTCAAAGACAGCATAAGCTAACTGGGAGGCAGCAAGCTCTGTACACCAACTCCAGTACGCCGAAGGCCCCGGGCAACCTCAGTTCTCGCGTGGTCACAAGGCTTCGAGCTGGGAGCGTCGCGAGCTGTACGCTAGCTGCCGCCGACAGCGGGAACGTACCTGAGAAGAGGAGGGGGAGGACCGAAAAGAGCGGGAGCAGCCGGGCCACTGAGCGGGGCGCGGGCTCGCCTGGCTGCCCCCTCCGATGGCGTGTTGCCAGGTCACGTGACCGCCGCCGCCGCCGCCGCCAGCCGCACCGCCAAACTTCATTGCCAATCGGTTGGAGAAACGTGATGGCGCTTAGCGAAATGACACCACGCGAGGAGGCGACGCTGACTCGCGCCACGGCGTCACGGCGTGACGGGGTCCAGACGTTACGCTGCTCTGCGTCAGGAGGCGACGCTGGCCTGCGTCACGACGTCACGGCGTCACGGAGTGACGGGGTCCCGCAGAAATCTTGCTCCCGAGATCGCCGTCGACGTCTCTTCAGAGTACCGACCGTCCCGTCAGTTATCGTCACGTTGACTCATATAATGCAGCATGACACGGACGTTCCCGCCTTAAACAGGTAGAGTATGTCAGGTGTGGTGCTCTGTGGAGAACTTGAGAAGCGTAAACACGGCAGAAGGTTGTGTGACAGGATTGACGGGAATCAGCGGATGCAAATGGGTACGCTTGGAGCGAATGTGGCAGGCGCCGAATGCGTGAAGACGTGAATTACTTAAGGACAAGGGGCTTCCAGGGTTGATATCCAATGGAATCCTTACTACTACAATCGGTGGTTGTGCGGGATCCCTATAGATTCGAGGCAATTGATTCACTTAATGCATCTGGTTTCGTTTTTGCTTCGTTTTTAACATTATCACCAGCCAAATGGTGGATGTGGGTACTGAGGTCAAGGGCACACAGCCGTGCACGGGGCAACATGCTTCCGCTTTCCCGCATAATGGATGGTAACTTGTGCGATCCTGGCCAGTTCATATCGACACCATTATATCATGCTATTATATCATGCTATATCATGTCATGCATTATATCATATCACGCTCATTTGACAGCTTTCAACTACGTTTCAGAAGCAATGAAAGACTTTGATGAAAAAAATTGCCATGCTTCGGCATTATGAGCCATTTCGGAATTCGGTCTATTTTTTAACTCAGGCCCATACGAGTCCATTTTGTGCCACAGTGCTCACATGCATAATGGTATCGGTTCAGACAAGATCATGAAATTTGTCGCATCTTTGGCGCGTGACACCAAGACATACGCCGGCGTCAATAAAAATACTACAATTACAAAAATATTCGCCGAATTTGAATGAAAAAGTCATGTTCAAAATTTGGGCATAATGGGGATACGGGGATGGCAAGGCATTGTCGTACCCCTCACTTTGAAATCGCTCCAGCACCCCTGTAGACTGATGTAGGGACGTCAAACAGGGAAGCCAGTGATGAAACGTTTAAATGAACGCGGGACCAGTATAAATTTGTGGACTAACATTTCAATGCCACGTCTGGCAATGCAAACTATCAAAGTATAATAAATCAAAGCATGATCAGCATGCGCAAATTCATCAAAAAACTCCCAGGAGGCAAAATTTTTGAAACTTTACAGCAAATGTATTCTAACGCATCATTTGTAGAAGTTACCTCAGCTGTTGCTAATTTGAGCCAGTCGTGCTTGTGCTCAGCATGCACGTATGTTCTTGTGGACGTGGCGTTCAGGCCTATCCTGCCCACGTGTGGCCGCACTATCCTACGTGTACCGCCTCGGCCGCCGGACCGGCTATGTATACTCTACTATTTCGCACGTCCCGGACATCACTCCCGCAGGTTTACTGTCGCCGTGACAATTACGGTGGGACCTTACGCGCGGCACTCACCGCCCACGTTATCCGGTTTTGATTGCAAATGGTGGTGCAAAAACGCATAGAACATTAGACAACAGTTACAATATATTCCGAAAAGACTCCTCCAACCACAGGGGCAAATTAGCACACACTGACATGGCGATGCAGCAAAATGCAGGCTTAGATCAGTTGGACAGATTCCTGTCTAGGTTCAACAGCGCGGCAGACTACCACGTACATCAGACGGACAGCACCCACATGAATAAGTCCCCTGGCGAAAATGACTTGGAGTTTGTGTAACAGAAAGAATTCGACTGCTATTCAACTATCCGAAAGCATCACTCAACGGTGCTTCTAAAAGGACCGCAAGGTACGCTCCCGACTTGACTCTGTTTCCAGACAGCCGACTTACGTGATTCTAACACAATATGGCGCCATCCGAATCGGCATGATGTTTTGGGCTCAGACTGTATGTGACATTACGGCTAAAAAGCATCCAGGGTCGCTCACTCACGAGCTTAAGACTTGACGTATTCGACTGAAACTACAGGGGAATCGAAGGGCGTGTCGGCCCAGACGGACCTGTAGAACTCTTAACACCCCATGTCTGACCGCTGCAATGTCGGAGCCATATGCTTCCCCATACGTTAGGTCCTGACACAGCTATCAGCTGTTCTGCCACGCCGGGACTATTGGGACGCTGGGACGTGAGCTTCTCAATACGCTACAATACACTACGTCGACGCACGTCTCGGTAAAAAGAAACAGACCAAGGCCGCCATGAACCGAGCCACATAGAGCAGTACTGGCTGGTTGAGTGGGCCATGCGCCGTAAGATCGCAACAGCCAGCGAGCACGCATCCGTGCCAGGACAGCACCGGAGGACGCTCATACGTGCACACGACGGAATGAGTCAAGCGTCTCACAAACAGCCGACCATACATAACCCATAAGTAGATAGCAAAATACCGCCCCAGACGCGGCGCTCGCAAGCAGCCATCGTCGCGAGCACTATCACCACACCAGCGTCGCCACAGCGAGCACTATCACCAGCAGCTGTCGACACCGCGGGCACTATCACCAGCATCACAGTCACGCCCGTAAGCAGATATGCAGAGATTCGGTGAGCTCAAGACGAAATCGGACTGCACTACCAAGCGCCAATGGCGGGCCGTGACGGCCGACCGACAACCGGCGAGGCTGGCGGTTCTGCCGCCGCCACGGAGGGCGGGTACGTGCCGCCGCTTCACCCCGGCCCGGGCACCGGCCAAACAGGGAGAGATAAACACCGGGTCACCATGGGAAATGCTACGCGAACCAGAGGCGTGGCGGCGGGGCCGGGCGGGCCACAGATGGCCACAGACGACCGCAGCGCACGCGGGAGAGCCTGGCGAGGAGGCCGCAAGCCGCCTGCCAGCGCCCGTCCCATCATGGCTGCGGAGAAGACCCGGAGCTTCACATCACCAGCCCGGCTTCGCATTTGAGACTACGCACCGGCCGGCGAACAGCCACTGGTGGGAGAGCCGACGTCCAGCGCTGAGGAGAGGCGCGCGCGCGGCCTGGGCCGGGCGGCGACGGACGCCGGCTGAAGTCACTGCTGGACGGCGCCGCCGCTCCGCGCCGACTGCTCGGCGTCCCGCAGGCCGGCGTTGTAGTACACCATGAGTATGCCAAGCATCTTGGTCTTTTCGTCGGACTGGGCCAGCAGAAGGGCGCAGCGGGTGCGCGTGCTGGGCTGCTCGGCCTGCCGGTCGGCCTGCAGCAGCTCCTGACGTCGGCTCTCCTCGGCGTCCAGCTCCGTCTGCAGCTTCGACACCTGGCGGCGACGCCCCGCACGTCTCAGGTGACGCAGCTCGCCACCAGACCGCCTGGCCCAGTAGCCAGGCGGGGCTCAACTGAGGCCAGAGCAGGCACAACGGCCCAGCTCACGCGGGCCGCGCAGGGTGGCCGACGTTTGCAGCCACGAACGAACCACTCACTGTGCTGCCGATATCGAACGTCGACACCGTGGCCGACAGATATGCCGCAAGCAGATCAGCTTAAAAAAGACCTCCGTCAGCAGATAATTTTCGCCAGAACTCTTGCCCCCTTCTCCGGTATCGGGGGTCAGGCCGCGTCAGTTTGGCCAGAGGAAGGACCCACCATGTTCTCCAGCCGATCGCGGCGCGCCGCCGGCTCCATCTCCACGTAGAGCTGGCAGCCGAGCTCGCGCGCCGCCAGCACCAGGTTTTCGTTGTTGGCACAGCGCTGCATGTTGGACAGCGCCACGTCCAGCTCCTCGTCACTGTCGCACTCGGCGGCGCCGGTGACGGCGGCGAACGGCGCGGCGGCCAGGGAGTTCTGCGGCACAGGACAAGGTCTCAGCGCGGCGGCCCGCGCTCGGAACAGGCAACCGCCGGCGCGCGGCCAGGGGGTGGTGGGGGCTGACAACAGCAAGCAAATCATGCACGCTCCACGAAACCCCGTAGTTGGCTAGGCCGCCATTCCGTGTGAGTGCCCCGAACGTACCGCATGCATATCGATGACTAGTCCCCGCCAGTCGAGTCTAGGGGAGGCCCGACAGGTGATGGTCGGACTGCAGGATAGTCCCACGGGTTGAGACTGGGAGAGCGCCGACAGGTTATGGCCGAACTGCACGGCCCAGGGCCATGTCGACACGCGGCTGAGGGCTCCAGGCGTCCGACTGGCAGCGGTCTACGTAGTCGCCCCAGTAGTGCCTATGAAGACATCCAAGGCTCGCGCTCTTCACAGGCCGTACGGCGGACCACCTATCCCTCCCCCCCCCCCCCTCCGCGTCAGCAAATATTCTGAGAGCAATTGATTAACTATTTTCATGAAGATCGACTGACTGGCAAATGGAATGGACCTTCCGTTTTCAAACAGTTCCAACTTGTCTTCTTGTGGAGAGGGCCCCGCGCTGCTGGTCGTATCCCCCCCCCCCCCCTCCCACCCTCCTGGGTGACGGGGCCGTACGTCCCTGCCGTCCTCTCCGGCACCGGTCGTCCCTCCCCGCCCACTTGCCGCGACACCAGGCGTACCTTCCTGCTGGTGGCGGGCGAGCGCTGCGGCGAGGGAGGTAAGCTGGTGGAGAGGCCCCGCTGCAGGCTGGGCGCCGGCGGTGCAAGGTTCTGCGCCGAGCCCGTCCGCTTCAGGCCACTCGACGAGAGCGACGCGATCAGGTTGTTGAGGCGCCGCCGCCGCTGTCCGGCCGCCGACGCCCATTAGTCCAGCCGAGGCCTTGTCGGCGACACCACGCACAGGCAGCACACACAGGCACCGCACTAGCCCCATACAGACGAGCACCACCGACCCCAGCGACCAGCGCGCGCGCTCACGGCCACAGCAAGAGCTACAGCAACTGCGGCAGCACCGACGTGCAAGACAAGACCTGCTGGCATTCGACAAGGCCCGCCCGCATTCAGCGCGGCACCCAGCATCCAGCACGACCCTCGGCATCCCGTACAGCTTAAGCAGTCAGCAAGACCGACCAGCGTCCAGTCTGACCCTTCGGCGCCCGTGGCAAGCCGTTAGCGGTCAGCAAACAACCGTCGCCAGAGGCGCCTCGGTGAGAGAGAGAGAGAGAGGAGAGGAGAGAGGCAGGAGGAGAGAGGAGAGAGAGAGAGAGAGAGAGACGAGAGAGAGATGAGAAGAGAGAGAGAGAGCAGAGAGAGTGAGAGTGAGAGTGAGAGCGAGAGAGAAAGAGAGGGAGGAGAGAGAGAGAGGCCCCGTATTGCGTAGCATGGATATGTAGTTTGCCATTTTATAGCCACTGTCTGCGGGGCATAGGCCCCTATATAGTTGGGAACGGGGGCAGGAGCCCCCCCCCCCCCCCCCCGACCCCCACCCCCAACATGTAGCTCCGCTCCTCCTTCCCCAAGTCGACAAATCACAGTAAGATAAACCACAGCAGCATAAGCGATAAACAACTGACTAGTACAATACAAAAGGCGTCCTCCACTGTTCAAAATGTTGAAATATTAAAAACTGCACACAAGTTGTTCCTATCATCATCTACGGATGCAAGATGCACATATCAATCAATTAATATCAGCCAATTGCTATCAAGCTGACAAAGTTAAGCTTTTTAAGTTTCAGGGAGGGTGGAGGGTCATCATGAAAAGGGCTTGCTGGGAGGACGAGTATCTGGGCTCAGGTTAGCTCAGCTGAAAATAATGGGCGTATTTTAGTGCGGGTGGCAGGCTTTGTTAAGAGTAACCTTCCTTTCTATGATGATGTAAATTGGCATGCGTTAATATCTCTCACAGCTGCTTTGCAGCTGTGTATGCATTTCTGAAGATAAGATATATACATAGACAATCGCGCATTGCTAGCATATCAATAATGAGCTTTACTCATCGCTAATGGTTCTGGAGACTGGTTTGCAAATTGCCATACCAAACTTTGTCTTTATTCACTTTCAGTGGTTGCTGCCATCGTGTGACCTGATTTGCTACGTTTTCACACGACGGACCGTTTAAAGCCGGGATACGCCCCAGAAAGAAAACCAAACCATACCATATGGAAGCCAAAACACTGGTGGACTTGTTGTTTTACTGAGGTTTTGGTAGTAAGCAGGCTGCTACTCACTACGGCTGATTGCCACAACTTGCATTTCAATTAAAAATCCTTCATAATAGCTGAAATACGTCTAACTCCAAATTTGAATTCAAGAAATACCGACTCCCGTAGAGAGCTAATTTCCTTTCTATTCTGAATAACTTTATGTTAAGAGATTCCAATCACAATGAGTCAGCCAAATTCAGCGTCAGCTTTAATCCAATTCTATCCAAATCAAGCGAAGCCGATTGTACGCGTCCAACAGCACGGGGAAGGGTTGCAGGCGGCACGGCACGACAGACGCGTTAGCGGCCGTCGCCAGCCACGCCGCGCCTGACTCTCACCTGGCGGACCGCGCGCGCCGCGTTCAACACCTTCTTTACCTTGCGGCGAGCTCGGCCGGCGGTCTGAAAGCAGCCCGCCACGTCAGCGTGCACCCGACGGTCCGGCGGCCGCGGCGGGCGCGCTCCCGCGGCCGCCGCCGGCCGCGGGCGAACAGGCAGCCGACGGCCGCGCCGTCTACGGTCCGCCCCGAGCACCGCGCCCGGCCGCGCCCCGCGCGCCGCTCGGTGCCCGACGCCGCCTCACCTTCTTGTCGGCTGGCTGGTCCGTGTCCTCCGAGCTGGTGACGATCTCCGGCAGGTGGCTGTCGCTGATGGAGTCGCGCCAGCCGCGGTTCAGCTCCGCCTGCCGGGCGCGCGTGACGGCCGAGAGACGACTGGCGCCCCCCCCCCCCCTCACACACACACATACACGCACTACATGGCGGCCACGGACCAGTTTGAGAAGCTTTCGTCCCCTAACCAAGCTGGAGGTGCACCCAAAAAGCATACGGAAGAAAACGACCACGAAAGCAACCACGGACATGGGCTTTAGCGGCCGGTGCCCCTGCGGGGAACAGAAAGACATCATAGAACGGAATGAGATAAACATGTGCGATGTTGTTTTGAGTGCTCCACTCGATACTGCCAGGTTACGGACCACATTGAGCAGCTCTTCAGTAGGCCGCGACGTGCTACAGGCTTTCGTGACTTTGGTAGTCACGCAAATAGCCTATGTGGTCAAAGAGCATACAGACAGCATACAAAAGATGCCTTCACATGGTACTGATTCGTGCTTAAAGCTAAGGCTTTAACAAAAAATGCACAAGCGTACCTCTCTAACCCTCAAACGGACGACGCTCGCTTCCACATTTGAATTCAACATGTAAAAATCAGGTCAGCTCGTAATGATAAAGCGTTCAATTATCCATTCATTCATCTGATCGTTTTTGTAACGACTAGGCGAAGCGGCCGTTCTCGGGGAGGAGGTGTCGGAGAGAGGGTGTAGTTCAGCCGGGCCACACAGTGCAGTCCGGTCGGGCCGGACAGTGCAGTGCAGCCGGGCCTAACATGCAGTCCGGAAGGGCCAGACGACCTTACCTGACAGGTGGTCTGGCTCTGGCAACGGTCGATGCAGCGTTTGTGACACGTCATCAGGCAGGCCGAACACTGGAACGCGTCCTTGAGCCAGATCTGCAGCACAGGGCACATGGGCCAATGGTAACTGCTGAGATAGCAGCCGCGGGCTACGGCTGAATTCTACGCGTGCAAGCGACAACTTTGCATCTCTGAACGACGTGGCTCAGACGCAAAACATCAAGTTAACACCGTCATTTATGACAAGTGTACGCGCAAAACGCGTATTTCACCGGCTTCATATAATTCAGCTTTGATTCAAAAGTGAATTTCCATTGCATGCTGGCATTACTTTAAGCGTGATCACGGAGCTCCCAGTTTCTCGCTCATCCGTCGGAAGCGCACCTTGCGGTGGCAGAAGTCGCACTCCGTCGATGCGGTAAACTTCATGCGGGCAAAGCGGTGGCCGACGCGGATCTCGAGCGGCGTCTCCTCCTCATCGGGCTCAGAGTCATCCACGTCCATGCGCTCAAGCAGGCGGGAGCCATCCTCGTCGGCCGCCGGCTCGGGCTCACCGCCGTCCGGCGCGCCCGCCGTCAGCACGAACGACAGTAACACGTCCCCGAAGCAGTATGTCGGCTCGAACCCGTTGAACACGGACAGCTCGTGGTCCACACTGGCGGAGGAGCCCGGTCGTCAGACACTGGACGAGGAGCCCGGTCGTTAGACACTGGACGAGGAGCCCGGTCATCAGACACTGGCGGAGGAGCCCGGCCGTCACACACTGGAGGAGGACCCCGGTCATCAGACGCTGGCGGAGGAGTCCGGCCGTCAGATACTGGCCGAAGAGCCCGGCCGTCACACACTGGCGGAGGATCCCGGAGGCCAAACACTGGCCGAGGAGCTCGGCCTTCAGGTGGTTAGATGGATACGGGTTACGGGTCCGGCGGCCGTCACGACACTCACTCCTTGACGGCGGCGATCGTCGGCGGCAGGAAGCGGCACGTCTCCACGTGATGCCCCATGACCGTCAGCTGGCAGCGGGACACCAGCTGGGCCAGCGGCAGGCTCAGGCGGCCCAGCAGCACGTGCTGGCCCGGCTCGGCGGCCGGCTCGCCAGCGCCCGTCTCCGGCACGCCCATCACCGACACGTTCAGGTAGCGGTGCGGCGGCCCAACCGAGAACTGGAACGTCTCGTTCAGCACCGGGTCCTGCGGCCAGCGGCGCGGCGTCAGCCCCGCGTGGACTGAGGGACGTCGCGGCGTGAGGCTGCGGCCGGGACGAGAAACTAATAGGCGAACACACTGAGTCCCCGGACCAAAGCAGCACGAAAAGTCGACACGATAAAGACAGATGCCGTGGCGACAACGCCGATCATGACCCAACCACAAGAAATCAGTTTGATCTGCTTAATCTTGAAGTTGAAGTGCCTTAGGGCACTCGATCTGCACGTTTACACGACGGTCGAGGTCAACTATCACAAGCACAAGGACAGACAGCGACGCCACGACGACGGGGTACGCCCAGTGGCACCGCACCAGGTACATCCACACTGACAGACAGACTGGACCGTCATGCTGGCAGCAGCTGGTGCCTCCGAGGGTCGGCTCATGTGGACTCTTATTCCTGATTCATCGCACCTGTGTTAGGTACATAAGAGCTCGCACCGCACACTGATTCAACGGGTGGATAAATCATTTTAAAGTCGATACCTTTCATGAATTACAAAACCACCATGGTGTCACAGGTCGGCTTCTCGCCATTCATGGAGCGCGGAGACAGCCCCCGCTAAGAGAACTATGGCATCCCAAAGATGCAAGCCCCTGCAAGTCGCAGTCGTTCAGCACACACGAGCTGAAGGCACCGAACAAGTGCAACGGATTCCGCGAACTTCTCGGTACCTAATCACGCAACTTCAACACGGGCGCACAGCACCAAGTTCCCAGAAAAGCAGAAGCCGCTGCACGTGCTTGGGCTAAAATCCTAATTCGAGAACACGTTGGCTCGCTCAATACCCTCACTAACTCCCACGTAAACGCCTTACAAGGCCGGCGTTCATTACGGCGTTCATTAGAGACAAGGCTGCTGACCTCATTCCAGCGGGCCCACTTGGTGCTCTTCTCCTGGTCGAACAGGCAGCTGTGAAGGGCCGCTGGCAGGCTCACCGCGGAACTGTTGTCGTCCTTATCCGCCACTGAAAAGGAGCGGCGTCAGCAAAGTCCGCCCACGTGCCGGTCGCCAGCGCGTGGTGGTGAGGCCTGCCACATGGCGCGTGCCCATCAAACGACCACGCGATCGGGGAGACACACTGAATATACCGCGGACGCCTAAAACATCACGCAGTCCAGCTCGTGGTCACTTGAATGGCGTGTTACGCATGCGCAAACACGTCGCTGCGCCGCGCAGCGTACTACAAGAGGAGTCCCGGTTGTAAAGAAGGGAGGAAATACAGATGCGCGCCGCAGCAAGCGTGCGCCGCGGACATCTCCCGTCAGATGTGTTATTCCCATTTTGCACAGACTGCAAGACGAAGACTGGATGTCCTTTCCAGGAATACCGCGTTGCGCACTGCGTAATGCCCGCAAGTCCGCGATAAGGGAGGCACGGAAACATCGCCCCGTTCTGTCTTGTTAGCTGCGGGGCATCCACAGAACAGGCTACACCGGCTGGACCCGGGACTAATGGGACCATGCGCACTCCGTCGATACCGACTGCCTGGATAACGCAGCCGTGCCCTGGTAAGGTGGGCAAATATGCAGCCTTTTACTCTGGCGCGAACGTCGCATCCCGGCGAGGCGTGAGGATGAAGCCAGCTACCTGGCTTCGGAGCCCAGTCCGAATCTACGACCATGACAAAATCCAACTCGAACCTAAATCCCCTGGCTCCGAAGTTTGAAACTGCGGTGCTTAAGATCCTGTTAGCCCCGGCTTCGCTGTTGTTTTTTTTTTTTTACTGTGACGTCGAATACCACGTCAACGTCTTTGAACTTAAAAAAGCGAAAACAGCAAAAAGCTGGGCCTTCGAACTAAGAAGACACGAAACAAAAGCAGGAACCATCATTTAAAAATCACGAGACCGAAGCCGAACCTAGTGAGCAGCAGTGTTTAGCAAAACCGACCATTTTCGCGTCTACTTTAACTGTACGAGATCACATAAATCATTACAGTTATGCAGTACCACAAGGTATTAGCATCACGGATGAGCTATTCTTACTACCGGCCTCGTCTTGTGTGTTGGTACCAGCACAACGTTCCTGACAGTCAGCTAAGCGGCCGCTGTCAGGCTCCCGTGGATGTCCGGCTGTTTTTCAGCTTTGAGCCATGCAGGCGTCGCAATCTAACGGCGTATTGAGGCGGCAGAACGAAAGAGCAGGCCAGCTTCTGTGACTTGAACTCGCGATCGCAACTAAAAAGATCACTATGACAAAGTCGAAACCAGCAGATCAAGATCGCATGACATCGAAGCCCTAGCCACAAATCGCTTGTTTTTTGCGAAGCCAAAGCCAGCTCCTCAAAATCATATCAAGCGTAAGCCGAGGCAAACCACTTACAATGACATGGAGCCGAAGCCGAATCCAAACGAATTCTCAAAAAAGGTTAAAAGCCGAAGCCGCACCTGAGGCCAATAACCTCCAGATTTGGAGGCGGAAAACCGCAGCTTAGCGAAGCCGAAGCCAAAGTCGGTTTCATCCCCCTGCCTGGTCCCGGCAAGGTTAGTGATGCAGATTCGTTTCTGGACGCAGCCGCCGCGTCCTATTAGGGTTAGAGATGCATACATGGCCGCCGCGTCCCAGTAGGGTAGGTGATGCAGACTCGTGTCTGAGCGCTACCGCCGCGTCACGGCAAGGTTAGTGATGAAAACTCGTGTCTGGATGCAGCCACCGCGCGGGCTTGTGTCTGAAGGTGGCTGCTGCGCCCCAGGAAGGTTAAAGATGCATACCCGCGTCTGGACGCACCCACCGCGTCCCGGCAAGGTTAGTGACGCAGACTCGTGTCTGAACATGGTCGCCCCGTCCCAGAACAGTTAGTGATGCAGATTCGTGTCTGAACATGGTCGCCCCGTCCCAGAACAGTTAGTGATGCAGATTCGTGTCTGAACATGGCCACCGCATCCCAGTAATGTTAGAGATGCATACTCGTGTCTGAACATGGTCGCCGCGTCCCAGTAAGGTTACAGATGCATACTCGTGTCTGGACGCACCCACCGCGTCCCGGCAAGGTTAGTGACGCAGACTCGTGTCTGAACATGGTCGCCCCGTCCCAGAACGGTTAGTGATGCAGACTCGTGTCTGGGCCACGTGCCGGTTAGCCGGCGGGCCCGGCGCCGTGCAGCCGCCGGCCACGCGGGGCGCACCTACCTGGCGCCGGCAGCGGCTGGGGCCGGCACAGCTGGGGTCGGCCGGAGCGGCCGGCGGCGCGCGCCGTCGGCCCCAGGCGCGCCCACTCGGCCCAGCCGCCCGCCGTACCTGAGGGCAGCCCCACGCTGACGCTCTTGGTGCCGCGGCGGCGGCGCACCGGCGACTCGTCCAACAGCAGGCTCTCGCTGGCTGAGCTGTGCAGGCGGCGCTCGGACGCCGGCGCCGGCGGCCGCGACCCGCCCACGGACGGCCGCTTCTGCTGCGGCAGACGCGCGCGCCAGACGGTCAGAGGTGGCGCACGGTCGCCGGACGACCGGCCGAGGCCGGGCCGGGACACGAGCGCGGCGGCTCACACACAGCTGCGGGCGTCCACTGTCCGGCTCCAGGAGCGGACGCCCGACGCAACACTTCATAGCACCGTAAAACTGCGCCAAGGGATAACAGGCATAGAGCACTGAAAAGGGCAGCCAACAAAATCGCTCCGCGACCACGGCTGTCGAGTCAGGTGGTCCAGCTCTTGGTGTTTACTAAGCTGTATACTCTAACGGAGCGACTCCGGATGCGCCGAAACCTCCTCCACGGATCAGAATGTTACGAGCGGCTGTACCATACTATTGCTGCCCAGAACAGGTCTGACAGAGACAGACAGGTCTGACAGGCACCGTCACACCAGAAGGGCGGCACGTACGCTGCTGTGTTTGGCCTCCTTGTTCTCGGCCATGCGCAGCACGCGGACGCGGATGTCGCTGGCCGGCTGGCGCAGCAGGCGGTTGGCGGTGGGCAGGTCCCGCACCGGCTCGCCGTCCACAGAGTCCACTATGTCGCCCGCTGGAGGCCGGGCGCAGGGCAGCTCGCCGTCAGACGGCCACACGCCCGTCACCGAGACACACCAGAGCCCACCACCACACACACGCGCACCGATCACCACCACCAAACACGGGCGCGCCGTCAGCAGCGCTGGACACGCGAACCGGCCGCCGCCGCGCCGCGCGAACTACCGGCGTGATGCAGTCAAACCGAGATAGAAAGCGGGCGTGAATGTACATCAACTACGAAACGAAGTAGGTCAGAATGCTCTCCAAACGAAAAACCAAGCACATCAGAAATTCCACCCTACAGCAGAGAGGATGACACCTCCCCAGAGAGGCTAACCCAGCTGCCACGTGCTATTCCTTCCCTGCAATGCAATCTGAGCGGCCTGGCCGACCAAACGCGGAATGCAATGACCGTCCCGAACCAATACACACAACTTAAAACAAAACCCATGCAGCAGCACAAAGTTCTGCAAGTTTCAAGACCACACAACAATGTGCGTTGTAAGGCAGTAACAGGCACTTCAATGGCAACCAAAGACGCGCAGCTCCAACGCGGCGAAGAAGCCAAGAGACCGCCCTCACCTTTGAGACCGGCCTTGTAGGCGGGAGCGTTGTGCACGACGATGAAGATGGTGATGCAGTTCCGCTGCTTCTCCATGACGAATGTGTCGCGCACCAGCAGACCGACAGCCTGGCCCGGGTGGGCCGGCACGTGCAGCTCCTCCTGGTGCCAGCTGATGTGGGACGTGTCCAGCAGCAGCGGGTCGGCACCTGGCGCACCGCGGCCGGCCCGGTCACGCCACACCGTCCCCGGCAGGCCGCCCCCCAGCCCACCACACCTGGTGCCAGCTGACGTGGGACGTGTCCAGCAGGAGCGGGTCGGCACCTGGCGCACCGCCGCCGGCCCGGTCACGCCACACCGTCCCCGGCAGGCCGGCTCACCCCCCCCCCCCCCGCCCCCTCCACCCCCACCGCCTCCCCTCGAGCCGGCCACACCCACACAGCGTCGAGCTCAGTCCCGACAGCGTGACACGCGACATGGGGACAATACACGGGAGGGAACGTGGCGCCCGGCACGCCAGCACAGCGAAGGACGACGGGCGGGGGAGGGGGGGGGGGGGGGAGCGTCGAGCCGCTGGCAGCCGTACCGACGGCCAGCCGGCAGTAGACGTGCGTCAGCTGGCCGCTGGAGCGCAGCCGCGACAGTCGCTTCACGGTGACCTCCAGCTGGGCGGACGAGGTCAGCTCGGCCAGCGTCGCGTCCGGCACCAGCTGCTGCAGCCGCGACATGAAGAACGGCTTGTAGCGCAGCTTGTAGTTGGGCAGCGTGTGGCGCTTGCGCAGCGTGCGCTTAATCTGCGGCCAGAGCGACAGGGTGAGCCGGGTGGGCGGGAGCGGCCGCTCGGGGACGGCACACAGCGGGCGACAGGAGAAGGCCAGAGCGACAGGGTGAGCCAGGCGGGCAGCAGCCGCCATTCGGAGACGGCACACAGTGGGGACAGGAGACCCGAATCACGACAGCTGAGGCCCACCCGGCCTGCAGGCACCACAGCTGCCGCCTGCTTGAGCGGCCAGGTCATAGTGCAGCACCGACCGGCGGGCTCTGGCGCAACAGGTGGCTGCTTTCGGTTGGGCGCGTGTATCGAACACAAGTAACAAAGACGGCGGGGATGGTTCTGAAGACGGAGTTACAGAGCACTGGCAGCGGAGAGACAACTGGACATTAGCCGGAAACTAATGGGGAGTGGTGATGGCAACAAAGAAAGAAATGTGGTTGCGACGTGCATAGAAAATACGCACCGCCTTGGGACTGAAACACGGGGGAGAACGACAAAAAATCCCTCCCCTTTGTTTCCAGCCTCGTGCCCCGTGTCCTGAAGACCGAGCCCCGTGTCCTGAACTGAGCCCGCGACTGCCTGACTTACGGACTGACCTGACACTAGGTAACGAACTGTCTCAACCTGACCACTGCTCAGCTGGGGCAAGGGACCTCATCAGGCTCCACGACTGACCCGGCTTGGCCTAAGCCGACCTAGCCTAGCCCGGGCCACTGACCTGGCGCACGATGACGGCAGTGATGCGCGGCTGCGGCCGGCCCTGGAACTGCGACTCTGCCTCCACCTCGATGGTGGGGTCACCGATGAAGCTGTACGCCCAGTGCGAGAACGGCCGCCGGGTGAAGCGCAGCAGCACCTGGCCCGACAGCCGCTCGACTGCCGGCGGAGGCGGCGTCAGCCACGGGACGGCACGGCTCAGGCACGCCATCCGAACCACACGGCAAATGCCGAGAAGCCAGAAGACAAAACGGCAAGTGGAGAAAGCTCAACTGGATAAGGCCCAAACAACAGTAGGCCAAAGAACCACGTCAAGTGGCAAAAGAACACAAAAAAACAGTTCAATGCAAAACGCCAAAGACATCAAAACTAAAAAGGCATAAAATTCAAATAGGCAAAAAGGAAAAAGGGATGAGAGTTAAATGGGCAAAACTAAACGAGAATAACGTCAAATGCACGGAAGTAAGAACACCTTAGGCTGAAGAGAACAAAATTCAAAGTGACTAAAATCAAAACGATGGAGCTTAAAGGTCAAAAATCAAATATCACGTAGTCAAAAGGGATAGAATTCAAACGAATAAAGAAGAAAAGGTTGATGTTCAAGGAAAAGAAGCAGCAAAAGGAAGCCAAGTCCTCAGGATTGAAGAGAATGGAGCGAGCTGAGCAAGTTGCCAAGATACGTCAAAGTGAAGCAGGCCCAGGGACGCTGAAGCGGTCGACCACGAGCGGGCGCTTCTGAACCAAATCCAGGCCCTCTGCGCCCTCTGAAGGACCATGAGGCCTGTTTGTCCCATTTGCTTGCAGGCTCAGACTTCTTACATATATACATTAGATGGCCGTTGCAGAACATGTTTTTCTTAAGGCGTGTTTCACTGAAAACGCGCCACATCTGATATTGATTTGCTTCAAAGGGAATGATTCTCTTCTCCGAATCAATGGCTTCCCATCATCGGAAAAACTGTTAAGAACGCTACTTTATGACCAAGTAACATTTCATTGGTCTTAGTAACATCATCACACAACATATGTAAAATTATACACAGTAATACGCAACGCATTAGTGGTCGCGTCTGCTGAAACCATATTTTTGCATTCCTCCGCGGTTTCTAAAAATGTGGCTGCGCCATCAGCGTCAGCTGCTGGACCACAAGGTAATAGAAACACTAGGTAAAGCCGAGCCGAGACTGCGTGCATCAAAATGACGAATCATCTCGGCATAACGGCTGGAAAATACTCCACGAGCGTGGTGCAAACGCCCTACAAGAACTATGCCTGCTCCCCACTGTCGTGATGCGCTTAACACTTCACCATCTCAGACCTGGTCTTTGACAGTGCGTTTGCGCACATGTTGATGTCATGGCTATTGACGAGTGCGTAAAGATCTTGCAGCAGCGCAGGATGCTTTCGACGGTACAGGAGCAACGGAAGCCTCACCAAGCTGGAGTGGGATGGAGGGGGGGGGGGGCGACAGACATGTTTGGCCTCAGGCACGAGACGGCCTCCTCAGGTCAGGGACGGCCTCCCCACGCACGGGACGGCCTCCTCAGGCACGGGACGGCCTCCTCAGGCACGGGACGGCCTCCTCAGGTCCGGGACGGCCTCCTCAGGTCCGGGACGGCCTCCCCACGCACGGGACGGCCTCCTCAGGCACGGGACGGCCTCCTCAGGCACGGGACGGCCTCTCCACGCACGGGACGGCCTCCTCAGACACGGGACGGCCTCCTCAGGTCCGGGACGGCCTCCCCACGCACGGGACGGCCTCCTCAGGCGCGGGACGGCCTCCTCAGGCACGGGACGGCCTCCTCAGGTCCGGGACGGCCACCTCAGGCACGGGACAGCCTCCCCACGCACGGGACGGCCTCCCCACGCACGGGACGGCCTCCTCAGGCGCGGGACAGCCTCCTCAGGTCCGGGACGGCCTCCTCAGGTCCGGGACGGCCTCCCCACGCACGGGACGGCCTCCTCAGGTCCAGGACGGCCTCCCCACACACGGGACGGCCTCCTCAGGCGAGGGACGGCCTCCTCAGGTCCGAGACGGCCTCCTCAGGTCCGGGACGGCCTCCCCACGCACGGGACGGCCTCCTCAGGCGCGGGACGGCCTCCTCAGGCACGGGACGGCCTCCTCAGGTCCGGGACGGCCTCCCCACGCACGGGACGGCCTCCTCAGGTCCGGGACGGCCTCCCCACGCACGGACGGCCTCCCCACGCACGGGACGGCCTCCCCACGCACGGGACGGCCTCCTCAGGCACGGGACGGCCTCCTCAGGTCCGGGACGGCCTCCCCACGCACGGGACGGCCTCCTCAGGTCCGGGACGGCCTCCCCACGCACGGGACGGCCTCCTCAGGTCCGGGACGGCCACCTCAGGTCCGGGACGGCCTCCCCACGCACGGGACGGCCTCCCCACGCACGGGACGGCCTCCTCAGGTCCGGGACGGCTTCCTCAGGTCCGGGACGGCCTCCCCACGCACGGGACGGCCTCCTCAGGTCCGGGACGGCCACCTCAGGCACGGGACGGCCTCCTCAGGTCCGGGACGGCCTCCCCACGCACGGGACGGCCTCCTCAGGTCCGGGACGGCCTCCTCAGGCACGGGACGGCCTCCTCAGGTCCGGGACGGCCTCCCCACGCACGGGACGGCCTCCTCAGGCACGGGACGGCCTCCTCAGGCACGGGACGGCCTCCCCACGCACGGGACGGCCTCCTCAGGCACGGGACGGCCTCCTCAGGCACGGGACGGCCTCCTCAGGCACAGGACGGCCCCCTCAGGCCGGACTGCACGGGATGCACACCGGGGTATCAGATACGTTGACATCCAAGCAGAATAGATACCCAGTGTTCTGGCGTTTTGCTGCGGTAATACTTTCGGCATATTCGATGGCAATAATTCGCCAAATTGCCGAGGGGTGTTAACGAAAACCAGCATATCCTTCAACGCCAAGCAGATGAAGTCGCACAAGTGAAAAAGCAGCTAGCATTCCTAAACATCTTACGGAGTTAACTGGTAACTGCACGACATTGCATATGTTTGTGCTAAGGATTCAGCACACCCGCACCGCCTGCCGGCTCCGCTCACTTTTGAGGAAGACGAAGCCCTTCCTGTTCAGCACGATGTCGGCCAGGATGCTGATCTTCAGACCGCCGTTGTACTCGACGTCCAGCTTGAGGTCCAGCTGCTCGATGGTCTGGGTGACGGGATGGAGCGACACGTACTGGGTGGTGACGCTCTTGAACACGGGCATCTGACCACCCAGGTCCAGCTCGTTGATCTGAGGGCGTGTGTGACGATCAGATTACGGGGCAATGCAGCCGGGGAACTGGCACGGCTCGGTTAAGTATTACATTTGTGAATCCAGTCACAGCGGCGAGATACACGGGGTCAGCGAATCAGACCAAACACGACTGGTCTCGCCACGTACTGACGTGGGGCGAATGTTGAGCAGCCATCTCCCCCTGGGGGTGATTTCGGACCGCACACCAGCATACGTAGGCCACGGATAAGGGCAGAGCCTGAGTGTAAACGACTGAACTAGCGGCACCTTGATCTGCTCCCTAAATCCAACCAACGAACTCGACGGCAATACGCGGCGCGGCTCACACGTCAAATTCTACAGCCTCGCCACATCCAGACTCTCGGGCTGACCCTGATGTTGTGGAAGAGCTTGCCGACGCTTGTGCGAGCCATCAGCTCCTGGAACTCGAGGTGGATCTTGTTGAGGACCCACTGACGCAGGCGCGGCGTGTGCACGAGATCACCGAACAGCATCTGCACCAGCAGATTGATGGCCAGACATGTTTCCTTCCGCTGGTACGTCTCCTTCCGCACCTCATCGGCCAGCTCCTGTCAACGCACCCGTCCACGTGTTGTCACCGCCGCCCAACAACTGTGACGTCGGAGTCCATGGCACTTATGATGCTAAATTCGCCTGCCTATCGTATTGTATGTTACTGCACTCTGAGCACATCCCAGCACACGTGACTGATCACCCACCAATGGCGTCTTGAAACGAGAACGGGATGGGCATGTCCCGGTGATAGGTACGGCAAGGAGACGGTGAATAGGTACGGGACACGCAAGTGCTGAGGATAAGGGTTGGCATTGTTGAGCGCAGAACACGATGGCCTCGATAGCCTCGTGACGCGAAGCCAGCCGGGTCGCAGCCCGCGGACGGCGTCTGGCGGCGGGGAGCGACGTCCCGGTGGCCCGCCTCGGCCCTCACCTCGGGCAGTTTGGGCTGGGTCACCGTCGGCTTGTCGGTCGGTCCCACGATCGGTAGACTCTCGAAGTAGTTCTCCAGCACGTAGTACTGCACGGCCAGCGTCAGCACGACGCCCAGCAGCACGCAGAGCAGCGCCAGCAGCAGCGTGCCGATCATGGCGCCGCGCCGCCCGGCCGCCGGTCACCGCTCCTGCCGCCACAGAGCACCGACTGACGAGCCGCAAACGACGGCCCACGCCCGCGCCGCGCCGCCGCGCCACCGCGCCAAGGGCGGCCGGCACACGACTCGGCCGCCCGTCACGTGACGCGTGACTCCATGTGATTTTTCTGCAGCCGGCGGAAAGCCGTCCGCCGACGGTGAATGGGTGTAATGTTGGAAGGGGTGGTAGATAAAGAAAACGGGAGTTGTAAGGCAAATAGAGATCTCTGTGGTCGACACTCATTGCATTCGCCACCAATGGCAGCCAACAAGCGTCAGGGCTAATTGCATGGAAATATGAACTCAATGTTGCGATGAGGTACGCTCGGCGACGGAAAAAAAGCAATAAAAAAATATCGTCGCAAATCGAGGTGGCCGTGGATGAAGAGCACGTAATGTTCGATACCTTCGCCTCCACACTCCCGCGTTAGCGGCCGTATGTGCTGTTTCCACAGCGGCCTGACCCTGCACGCAGCCGCAAAGCCTCTGTCCCAGCGACTGGGGCCGAACTGTGAGCTCGATCCGTCCCTGACGGAGCTCGGAGCATCATTCTGAGATGGCCGTAGTTGGGGCCTGGTTCACCGACAGAGCCAACATTTGCCGCGGCTGAGTGCGCCGGCAGCCCGGCCACCAGCCGGGTCGCCGAACGGCCGTCTGGGGGCATCCCTGCCACCCCAGGCCCTGCCGCTCCCAGCCCCTGCGCCCCGGCTCCTGCCGCCTCACGCCCCGCCACCCCGGACCCTGCCGCCCCGGCCCCTGCCGCCCCGAGCCCCTGCCGCCCCCAGCCGCGGCCGGACTCTGGCCATGCCTCAGGTCACCCCCAGCCGCGGCCGGACTCTGGCCATGCCTCAGGTCACCCCCAGCCGCGGCCGGACTCTCGCCATGCCTCAGGTCACTCCCAGCTGCGGCCGGACTCTGGTCATGCCTCAGGTCACCCCCAGCCGCGGCCGGACTCTGGCCATGCCTCAGGTCACTCCCAGCCGCGGCCGGACTCTGGTCATGCCTCAGGTCACCCCCAGCCGCGGCCGGACTCTGGCCATGCCTCAGGTCACCCCCAGCCGCGGCCGGACTCTGGCCATGCCCCAGGTCACCCCCAGCTGCGGCCGGACTCTGGCCATGCCTCAGGTCACCCCCAGCCGTGGCCGGACTCTGGCCATGCCTCAGGTCACCCCCAGCCGCGGCCGGACTCTGGCCATGCCCCAGGTCACCCCCAGCTGCGGCCGGACTCTGGCCATGCCTCAGGTCACCCCCAGCCGCGGCCGGACTCTGGCCATGCCTCAGGTCACCCCCAGCCGCGGCCGGACTCTGGCCATGCCTCAGGTCACCCCCAGCCGCGGCCGGACTCTGGCCATGCCTCAGGTCACCCCCAGCCGCGGCCGGACTCTGGCCATGCCTCAGGTCACCCCCAGCCGCGGCCGGACTCTCGCCATGCCTTAGGTCACCCCCAGCCGCGGCCGGACTCTCGCCATGCCTCAGGTCACCCCCAGCCGCGGCCGAACTCTGGCCATGCCTCAGGTCACCCCCAGCCGCGGCCGGACTCTCGCCATGCCTCAGGTCACTCCCAGCCGCGGCCGGACTCTCGCCATGCCTCAGGTCACCCCCAGCCGCGGCCGGACTCTCGCCATGCCTCAGGTCACCCCCAGCCGCGGCCGGACTCTGGCCATGCCCCAGGTCACTCCCAGCCGCGGCCGGACTCTCGCCATGCCTCAGGTCACCCCCAGCCGCGGCCGGACTCTGGCCATGCCTCAGGTCACCCCCAGCCGCGGCCGGACTCTCGCCATGCCTCAGGTCACCCCCAGCCGCGGCCGGACTCTCGCCATGCCTCAGGTCACTCCCAGCCGCGGCCGGACTCTGGTCATGCCTCAGGTCACCCCCAGCCGCGGCCGGACTCTGGCCATGCCTCAGGTCACTCCCAGCCGCGGCCGGACTCTGGTCATGCCTCAGGTCACCCCCAGCCGCGGCCGGACTCTGGCCATGCCTCAGGTCACCCCCAGCCGCGGCCGGACTCTCGCCATGCCTCAGGTCACCCCCAGCCGCGGCCGAACTCTGGCCATGCCTCAGGTCACCCCCAGCCGCGGCCGGACTCTCGCCATGCCTCAGGTCACTCCCAGCCGCGGCCGGACTCCCGCCATGCCTCAGGTCACCCCCAGCTGCGGCCGGACTCTGGCCATGGCTGAGGTCACCCCCAACCGAAGCCGAGCGGAAGTCGATAGCTTCCGGTGGCCAGGCCGCGCCGGACGGCGGCGTCGGTCCCACCGGCAGTAACCGCTCCCAGCCGCCGCCATCGCAGCCCACTCTCCGCACACAGCACCGCCAGGGCAGCGGACGGGGAGCCGCGCTGTGGTAACAGATACAACAGCTGTACCGTCCAGCCGCGTACGGCTCTGCTCCCTGCTCTACGTCTAAATCCCGGCCTGGGATATCGTTTGTTCAGTTGTCGCCTTCCCCCCTCCCCCCGCCCATTTTGAGGGAAAGTGGGCAAAATACGGGACGAAACCCGTCTGTTAGCGACAATTTAGGGATAGCATTAATAATTTATACGGTCCAGCTCCCCAACTCACTTTACAAAACTACGCCCCCGTTGCTGGGCGCGTGTTGGCCGACACCCCTCAGCCTCCCTCCTTGTTTCCGAGCTCGTTCATTTGTTCGAACCCCTTTAGCCTAAGTCCTCCGTTGGGGTCTTTGCACCCCGTCGCGTGACCAGCACCCCCCGACGCAAGTCCGGCCGCCGGGGCCCGACAGGGAGCACCGGCCTCGCCAGCGCCACCCACGCTGGAGGTCAGGCGGTGGCGGTGCAGTTAGTGGTGTTATCTGCAGCCGGCGTGGGCGGCGAGTCGCGGAGCGCTGAGAGCGCTGCGAGCACTGCGATCATCGCCCGTCGCCTGTCTCGCAAAACAGTCCACAATCGGCGCTGTTCCCCACCCCCACCTCTCCCTCCCCTCCCCTCCGCGCGTACCACGGACCATCGCCTGTTGCCGGTGTCGCAAAACAGTCCACAATCGGCGCTGTCCCCCACCCCCTCCCCTCCTCGCGTACCACGGACAATCGCCTGTTGCCGGTGTCGCAAAACAGTCGGCAATCGACGCTGTTTTTTTTCCTCTGCGCGGACCACGGACGGCCGTAGCCTTTGCCCAGCTGCCTATCGCTCTCCAGACGCGGAGATGGAGAAAGAGGGCAACGGACCAGCGACACGCGACTGGAAAAGGATACCCAGACACAAACGCTAGATAGGGGACATGGACAAGCCACAAGCTGCCTTGCCTGTAAAGGACACAAATGATAAATGACAGAAAGGAAAACAGATGGAGGCACAAAATACTCAATTGGATGTAAACAATATTACACAATAACGCGACGCTGCCCTTTCAACCTTAGCCGTTTTTACCAGTGTAGAGGTACCAACGCTTCACATTTTCCAACCCGAGCCACTATTTAACCCTTGCGTTCGGTAAGAACCCGTACCGACTGAGGACGCCAGGATTACCTGGACGCGATCTGAAGGGCCGGCGGCAGGGTCACCGACGAGGTAGCCGCCACACGGGACAGCGGCCGGCCCAAGGCCACCCCACAACAATGACATCACCTGATCGCAGCACCACAAACGGGTTCCACAGGTGCGTGTGAAAGAATGCCGATTATTCGGAAGAACATTATGACACGAGTGAAATGCTCACAGGATGGCTCGACCACTTACCACTGCAAAAAGGAAAAAGGCTTGATTGTAGCGCAACCCAGACAAGTAGCCTTATCCAGACCCAAAACGCATACCACGACAAAGAGTCCCACCATATCTTCCCACATCCAAAACGTCTTCACGGTCCATAGCCCACTCCCACCTTCTAATAAAACACCCGTGGGAACCAAGCACCTTGTGATTCCAGGTGCTTCAGGCAAATCGGCGTGGTCGCCTGGCACGTGTGCGAAGTGGCGAGTGTATGACGCCAGCCGGTGTGACCCAGCACCACCGTCAGTGCCAGGTGTGGTGCGCTTCTGCCCACCTGAGGCGCCACGTGCCAGGCTCCACGGGGTGCAGCGTGACAGGGCGTGACAGAGCGACGGCCGTGACCGCCGCTGGGGTAGCGCGGCGGCTGAGTCACCGGCCGCAGTGACTCAGGCGAGTCACCGGTCGGCGCCCACACCGTGTCTCCGCCCCGTCCGCCGTCCGCGGCCCGCGCCGCCGGCACCCCGTTCTGCTCAGCCAACCAGCGGCACATGTGCGACGGGAACGGCCGGCAGACTGTCACCAGGGGTGAAAACTGGGCCGCACGGAGTCTTTCAGTGGTACGACTGTACACGACAGGGGACTTTCAACCACGCCCCTCCCTAGCTCCCTTCGTTTTGACCGACCTCCTTCATCATGCGTCACAGGACAGGCGGGCGGGCCACGAGGTCAGGTCACAGAACACGCGGGTCGGCCACGAAATCGAATCACAGAACAGGCGGGTGGGTCTCGAGATCGAATCACAGAACAGGCGGACCGGTCACGAGATCGGATCACGGGACGGGCGGACCGGTCACGAGATCGGATCACAGGACAGGCGGATCGGTCACGAGATCGGATCACGGGACAGGCGGACCGGTCACGAGCTCGGATCACAGGACGGGCGGACCGGTCACGAGATCGGATCACGGGATGGGCGGGTAGGTCACGAAATCGGATCACAGGACAGGCGGACCGGTGACGAGATCGGATCACAGGACGGGCGGATCGGTCATGAATAGCATGCAGTTTGCGGCTCTGTAAAACACCGGCCTTCAACACGTGAACATTACGACAAGTAGGAAACGTATGCCGTGGAGCGGTTGTGCTGTCAACGTTCTTTGGTGGGTGCTGATGTATTAGCTGCGCAATTGCGTGCATCTGCCAGAGGTCCTCCGACCGACGCATGTACAGGCGTGCCACTGGGCATTTGGCAGCCGGGGGTCGCAGCCACACATTTGGCAGCCGGGGGTCGTAGCCACACTAGACCGCAACCATTCGGCTACACAAAGCGCATGTGATCGTACTGCCACGCGTGCGTAGCAGTGTGCAGATCGTCATGCTCTGCCGGGCGCAATGCATGAATTCGACAATATCTCGCGTAGCGTGTGATGTTGGCTGCAGTTGAAGACAAAAACGGTAGATTGTGGTAAGCGGTAGACGGTAATGAATATCCCCCCCCCCCCCCCCCCCCCTGAGACTCGTCAGCATATATTGCCATGAAAAGGCGCCGAACGCCAGTGAACATCTGAACTTGTGAACAGTGAACAGTGAATATCTGAACAAAGGCCACGTAAGAAATACGCCTCGACATGGCGCAGAGCGTAGGTAAAAGTAAAATATGTGTATCTGGCAGGGGACATTACACTGATTGGCTGAACCATGGATAGATGCCCATGTTTTAAATTTCCAGGACCCGAGGCTTTCCTTTTGCAAGTTCTAAAACTGCGACTGACCTCGATTCGGAAGGCAAAACTTCTGGTTTCTGGCACGGGACATTGCATTCATTAGCCGGCAAATAGTGAAAGTTTGCCATGCATTAAATGTCCAGTACCCGATCATTCAGAATACTAAATTTTGTATCCAATGCGTCCGTGCACCACCGCTTTTTTAAGACCGTTAATTCCAGCCGTTGTTGATTTGTAGTTTTGGGGTGCGTCGACTGCAAATGGTCCAGCAGCGCCCAACACGCTTCGGAGGGTAACATGTTGTTGACGCAAATCCCCACCAATCCCTGAGTTCCGCGGAGTTAAAACACGGATGGCGAAGGCCCCGCGGAAGCGTGCTCCTGCCAGCAGCACATATCCGAAGGGCTGGAATCCCAAGAAAACGCACAGCGCTGAAGATAGATCTGTTTGGTGGTGTGGGGCCAGCAATGCCGACGGTATCTTTGGATCCACCTTGCGTGTCGCGAAAACATTGCCTCTTGTGCGTGCCTGCTGTGCGATGTGTAAAAAGACGGGAAACTTCAGCTGTCATTTCGGAGCAGCCAGCAAAACAACCAGGAGGGAGGGGGGGGGGGGGGACCACCCCCACCATCACGGCCACAATCCAGAGCACGGCTGCAGGGCGGTTCGCCGATGACCGCCAGCCCTCTGTCTGTGACGGCGCGACTGGAGGGGGCAACACGCCGTCGGGTCGTGGAAAGATCGGCCCTCGACGGCCGCAGGGATCAGGCCGGGCGCGGCAGTGTCTCTGGAGACCGGGCGGACAGTGCAAATACCAGGCGCGCGGCGGCACGCTCCGTGGCATTTCAAGTGCCTAAACCGTTTATGGACGCCCAACGGTGAATCCAGAATCCAAATATTACCCCATGTCTGGCTTGTGTGGGCTTGTAGCACACCAGCCGGCACCTCCGTTGTGATTTCCAAAAAAGACGACTGATCCTCTATGCAGTGTAAAACTAGCATCCACCCGCCCATCGCCAACCTCGCAACGTATTACACCATATTTATCAAAACCTTGGAACCAGCACCGCCATAGTCGCGTGGGTTCAGCCTGCCTGCCGGTCTGGGTGACTCAAATTCGACTCGCAGCTCGCCGAATACCGTTTTGTCGAGTGCAATATGACGACTTTCATACTGGCGACAAGCCACAAGTCGACGTGTCACCAAGTCGAATCGGCTTTATGGCGCACTATAAAATGGCGACATGCCAAAATAGCGGAGAGCTGAATGGCAAACTGTAAAATGATGAAATATCACGAGCTTGACATGGAACTACAACATTGACGAACTACAAAATGACGACATATAACATAGTCGACACGCCAAATTGGCGAACGGCTAAATGGTAAACTGCTTAGGGATCATGTCTGAATGAATGACGACATGGGAAGATGGTGGCAAGCCAAAATGATCACTGGCTTAATGGTAAACTGCTTGGGGGTAACGCTTGAATAAATGACAGCTAAGTCATCGGCTACGTCTTTGAGTCAGAATCATTATATGCAAATGGCAATAATATATTGAATCACCTCGGAGCGGGAAATCAAACGAACGCGCAGCAAGGATCAAACACGCGCACCGCTCGAAATTGGCCGAATTGAGCAGGTACATAAGCAGAACGCATAACGCAGTCAATGGGTGTTTAGCCTTCGGCGGTAGCATTTCAACACTGTTTTTCCTCTGTGTCCGCTCCCATAGGTTTTGTCCAAAATTGCAGTGCCATCTGTCGCTCCTTTTGTTACGTTTCTTTTTTGTGAAATGCTCGCGCGAATCAGCCGAAATCAACGCTTTATTTGTTCGTAACGCAAATGTTTTCGTTAAGCCATACCTGGGACGCTTATGCGCAAGGGTTTGGTTTAATTGCGTTGCCCAATGCACTACTTTGCCGAGCACACTTTGGGAATGGCATGAGCGACTACCCGCAAACCTTCCACAATACTTTTTTGTCGATTCTGCAAGCATTTGCCAACGAGATTTCAAATCACACCGTGTGATCGCAGCTTGCCGGATCAGAACTCCTGACTGTGGCTGTTACCACCATGATTAACGTTATATGCATTCCTTATGAATCCTTGATACCTACGGCTTAACATTTGATTCCAGTAAATGGGTTGAGTGTTGCACGATACAAATGAAGATGTGACACTGATAAAAACACCAATAACGTAAACGGAGCACACACAAGCAGGCAGTATCCTTTGTCACGCTGCTAAAACCCAGACATGATCACAGCATGGCTCCGAGGAGCCGCAGCAAATGGCGGCAGGCGGTTCACGAACAAGGCCGTGCGGTACGAACACGCCCCGCGCGCGCCAACTTAACTGTCTTTAACGCTGTCTTTCTGGCTGTCAAAGCCGAAAAGCAGAGAAACCAAGGCAGTGGCGGCAGCAACGTGAATAAGTTGCCATAAAGCTTGCACAGCTGAGGTTTACTCTGCTACAGCACAAACCATGTTCTGCAATGTTAATAGCCACGACAGATACCAAACCACTTAAAAATCAACTCCCTTCACAGCAAAATAATGCTAGCCAGTTGACATACATTAGTAGTCTGACTAAGGACTGCCACAGAGGGCCCAGGTACATTGCTTACCTGTATTTTGGAAGGGCGTCTGCTTCTGCAGTGTGATACGGGCTCTTATACAAGCTGTGTGATCTGAGGATCCAGGAAAGTATTATTAGTGGGACTGAGGCAACCCTCGAAGAAAGGAAACAGACTCTCTGCAAGGTTACATGTGAGATGACCCACACATATGGTGTTATTCTATACACTTGGGACAATTTTGAGAAGGCACTGACATTCACAGGCATTTGAACACTGGGACAACAACACAGGTGTCTACCATCCAAAAAAACATCACAGGGAACATGGGGCAACATATGACAACATGATGCACAGGAACAAGGCAGTCACAGGCCGCCCAGATACAGCCCAAAATAGGTTATCCTCTGTTAGTATGCTTTAACCTGCTTCTGCTTTTGTCCTTCCTGTGCCACAGTCAGCTTATGAATGTTTGCAATGGCATTTCAGAACAAATATATGCATTTGTGTTTAACATCATACCAGTGGATTAAAAATGGAACATTGTGATGCAGGGAAAATTGACTCTAGTCTCTGTGAAAAGGTCAGACTTGTCACACAGTAACATAGGTTAACAGTGGGCATATCTGGCCAGGCTGACAAGGAAAGGTCAGCCAGCAGGCAGTCATAGGGGGTCAACTTGTTGAAATGCTGTCATGCCATAGCCCTTTACTGGAAGACAAAGACATCCACTGCACAGAATAGCTTGATCCCATCATACAAGATGGGAACAATGTCTGCCTTCTTTACTGCTGAGAACTGGGTTATATAATGTTGACAACTTCAGTAGGATCAGGCATGCCAGGTGAGGCACTGCCGAATTGAAAGCCAAAACAAGTGTCATAATCTAGTCCTGCTTGGGTTCACAAGAATGCTACATGGAATGATTATTTTTTGCACTACTGTTCCTGTTAAATCAAATTTATCTTGAATAACCTGGTGAATAATACTGCAAAACATTACAGACTGGTGATATGTTCACTAAGCCTTCTATAGTGCAGTGAAAACATACCTAAATTATGTGACCTTTGTTCATAAAAACTATAAAACCCTGAATGATGTCAGTTGCCTGTTTTGCCATGTCTACACACAATAGTTTTTTTTTAATAAAATGGAACAAAGGCCCACACATAGTGCATTCAATGTGGGTCAGACTGAAAAAATACATGTAACTGGTTGCCAGAAACATGTGTGGTGGGTAGCAGCCACATCCTGGCAACACATGTAGGATCATTGTTTCAAGAAGTGACGACACTGCTTGGGTCATCTCCAACATGGATAACAAGCAAACCAAGCAAAAAACATTGGAAAATTTAGCACGATTTGGCCTAGCCTGAAATTTGTCCAGCCATCACTTATCCAGTGCATGTTTGGTGCGGAGGATGAATCTTTTGCACACTAGGATGTGGTCAAAATCCCTAAGTGTTCTATCTTACAATCACATCAATTTCGATGTTCCTGGTGTAAGCCCTGCACTTTCTGATGGCAGTATGCCCATTGCCCAGTATAAAAAACATACAATGTTGGCACCAGTACATGCAGACATTTATGAACGATTTGAACACGTTAATTTACCTCCCCGTACATCTTGATAACAGTGAAACGTGTTGTAACTCCCACCCGGCGACCAGCTGGGCTCACCTCACCCGAGGCACTCCTCTGCAAGACCACGCTATTGCTAAGGGGAAATAATACATTTCTTGACTATTTATGGCAATGCTTGCTACAAATTTACCTTTTTCTTTCGTCCATCGCACTTATTTTACTTCATTTTTTCCCTCGGTGGTAAAGCTACCCGATGAAGGAGAACGCCCGGTTCCCTCGTTTTGGAATCATTTGTGCTCATATTGCACTTTTTCAACAACTTTGTCAAGCAAGGATGTCTTTCCTGAATGGGGAGAGTCATCGAGTCATTGCGAAATCTATCTCCGATGTCAGCAGCTTGACTGGCAACGGGGCTTCAATGGCTAAAACAAAAGACAGGTTGTGTGACCCTACGGCTCATTATGTGAGCTATGGGTCATTACACTAGTCAACTCAATATAACTAGCGTAGCACTATCCAGATAGCAATTCATCGCGGCCCCGGCTGGGCAGATTTTTAAAGCAGCGCGCAGTCCGGCTTGGGCAGGCCCTGTCAGAGCCACAGTCCTTGTTCAAAACTGCGATAATGGCCAAGTAGAACCCAGCTTGGACGCGACTGGGCCTGTAGCGCCCTTTTCCGCGAATGCCGTCGCAGAATATGAATGAGCTCTGGCTGAGATTGACCCGGTTGCCCAATCATTTACCAGCGGCCGTACGGTATATAGTGTTGATAATTGCAGTTCAATTCGTGCAGACGGTGTTCTGAGTATTGTAGGTGTCGCGTGATTTTTTAAGGTGTGAACCCGGAAACCAAATTAATGTGACCGGTGCAAACACCCAGGCGAGCTACCAGCATGCTTATTGGGACACCCGCTGTCGGCATGCAGCAGAACCAGGTGAGTTTAAAAATCGTATCCAAACCATGCATCCAAAAAACTTTGGGTTTACATGATCAGTTCCATCAACGGATTCCAAACTATACTTACCGAATTACCTGCAATTCCCAACGTCAAACAGGAATTTGAGGGCCACGTGGCCCGTCGATCCCGGTCTTTTCGAGATTCCGTTCGGGTAACCGAACAATCTCATTTCAGTGATGTGATCGTTGCGTGATGCACATGATGCCAGTTCAGCGTGAATCGAGTCTTATTTTAAAGTGGTCAGCTGTGAATGATCGTTCTTTTGCCGGCGGAAGAAGGTTCCTCAGGAATGTTCAGAACAGAACACAGAACAGGAAAGAATGACAGTGTCATTTGCGACCCGGGAGCTCGCTGAGCTTTGGCAGACGGATGTTCTGGCTTGAGGGTTTCGCAGGCTTCATTGGTGTCCTTTTGTCATCTCCGAAGCGTGTCTTGTCAAGAACTCGCCCAACGGCAGACAGGTCTTCATAACACTGCAACCATGTTTCCCTTCAGCGTTAGTAGTACAGTGAAGGCAAGAGAAAAAGTCGGTGCCTCTATGATGCGGCCAATGCTTTACTTCTTAGACAACGCGTGGCTCTTCACTGAACCGGCTCCAACCGCTCCTGATCCAGCTTGACGAACAGGTTCCAGATGATAACGTCATACTCATGAATGTTGCGCCAAAACGGGCATATCATGGCCGTGTACAGCAGCGGCAGTGTGAAAACGTCAGTGTTTTCAATGCTACATTTTTAGGAACGTTTTTTCCAGCGTTGTATAACTTTCAGAAACAAAAAGAAAACACGTTGATTATTAGGGTTCAGACCGTTTGTATGCCTCTTTAGGGGAAGAAGCTTGTCGAAACTGAAGTAAGACAATGGCAGAGGCTTACACACGTAACTTCCACCTCAACTGAACTGCACTTCGGCAAGCTGAAGTTACGGCCTAGAACTTGATCTTTTAAGTAATTTTGGTTTTACTCGCTACTGGAAATGTTACGTCAACGACATTGCACTGCGTCGGGTTATCATTTCTGGGAGATATGAACAAGACGCCAAAACAGGCTGTGCCTCACCTGGGCAGTCTGCCTTTGCGTGGCCAGAGCTCAGCTGGCGCCCAGTTACCGAGTCCATCACGTACCCTGTTCTGCCGCGCAGGTTCCTCGCCAGGTCTATCCCGGCCACGCACTAGCGCCCAGCTGGTACACAGCACTTCTAGCAGGGAGGGCCGAGCCGAGCTCCAGCTAGAGCCCAGCACCCGCCCAAGCCACGCCGATATTCTGATATTCGTCCATAATGTGCCTGGTTGGTGCCTGGCTTGGCCGCGAGCAAGCAGCCCGGCTGTGGCCCGGCCGCGGCCCATCAGAAAAAAAGCGTTACAAAGGCTACCTGGGGCCGTGCTAGGCATCCTGCCACTGCTCACTTAGTCTACCCGCCTTGGCCGGGGCCGCAGCAAAGGGCTGGCTCGGTAAGAAAAATGCATAAAAGCGGCATTTGCCTCTCGATACATTTGAAAGACTGTGTTTTACATTCCTATGAGGTTTTGAACTGAAAAAGCTATCATGAAAATCATTTGGTGCAGTTTACAGCCATGCTTTCTTAAGAGCTTAGCCTATCCAGTTCCTGAGCTACACGCCCGCGAAGATAGGGAGATTTTTCGGGGGGGGGGAAGTATTTCATGGGCACATTGGGGTTCATGATGCCATAACAACGCCATTCAAATACTGTCATGTCATTCCAGAAGTCATGCGGTAATCAAGGCCAGGAAAAAGATAATGGTTGAGTCTTTCATATCTGGCATTCGTGAACAAGATTTCCAGATACAACTGAGTTCTTGATCAATGTTGTGCAAGGTACGATGACGTAATCAAGCAATGACGAATCAAGGAGCACACTAAACAGAAAATTGTGGGGTCTAGAGTGGTCATTTGCGCTTAAACGTACTTCTATATTTTCAAGTAAGCTTGTTTTATCATATTATGGTGCTTGTTTCGATGCCTTCAATGTGAAGTATTTCATTCTAATAGTTTCCTTGTTGGCGGCATGAGGCAATGGCGGGAAACTCACGCCGATAACGAACCGCAGTGAGGATCAGCGATATTTATTGTTAAAATATTCGTAATTTTCGCCACAAGCGTCCACGAATTTGCACGATTGTACTAGACGGCACGGGAATGTGCCTGAGTAAGTACGAATGCATCATGTCGCACAGTGAGCTACTTCTAGCACAAAAGGATGCAAAAATGGTGAGGATTGGAAGTGAAGTGGTTATAATTTTTAGAACGAACAAAAGTACCACAACTATCACAGATGTCTCTGAAGTTCCACAAAATGAGCTCTTTGGTACAAAATCTGCCTTTTCAAGCACCAACTGCTACAAAACTCTAATGAGGTCTCACATGGCTTGGTAGAGAGCTTGTCTGATAGATGTCAAAGCAGAGCGATAAACTTAAATCTAGTTATAAAGGACCAGGGACATTGTAATGTATGAAACTTGAACTAAACGCTGGTGTTCGAGCGCGCATTCTCTTTAAACGGGATGTTCCACACTTGAATAAATTTTGAAGCAAGCATCATATTCAAATGTTGCCCATTTGAAGCAAGCATCAAATACGATGAAATTAGCGCACTTGTAACTGCTTATGCTGACCAAACCTGTTGACAATGCCTATGCCGCTTGGTCGATAACCTATCCTTCCTACAGCATGGTGACCCTTGGTCACGTCAAAGGTCACCAAAAATACCAAACACCGGAAAAATAGGATTTCAGACGACCCCATGCACCGAGCCTATGGCACCGATCACTATGAAATCTTCACCAATCGGTGCGCCATAATCGATAAGCCTATTCTTTCCAGGACACCTTGGGTCAGGTTAAACGTCAACAAAACGTCCGAAACCAACAGAATTGGTTACAGATAACCCATGCTCCGAGCGTATGGCACCGATCAGCATTAAAAGGAATGCGCCATCTTTGCATGGGGGTTTTGAACTGAAAGAGCTATATTGAGGACCTTTTGATGCCGTTCACAGCCATGCCCTTTTTAAGATCCAAAGCCCTCTGGTTCCTGAGTAACAGGCTCGCAAAAGTGGCAAAATATTTATCGAGGGACTTTCAAAGCGACCTCCGCAGGAATGGTGTCATAGAAGCGTCATACGATCGCCGTGATATCACAGGCTGTTTTCTGCTTATGGTAAAAAACAGCATGGCCGCTGATACATCCTACATCCATCCATGCATCCATCCACATCCATCCATGATGCATCTATCCTCCATCAATCGAGGCGCCATAGGTGATATTCTATTTTTCTATTTATTCTATGCTTTCCAGAACACGGCGACCTTAGAGTCACTTCAAAGAAAACCAAAAATATCAAAAACTTGAAGAAAGGTTGCAGACAACCCATGCTCTGAGCCCATAGCGCCAATCAGCATAAAGCCTTACCAATCGATGCACCATAATCGATATTTTATCCTTTGCAAAGCATGGGCACCTTGGGTCAGCTAAAACGTCCTCAAAAACGCTCAAAAACCACCGAATTTAGTGGCTTTGGCACGAGCCTATGGTACTGATCAGCATGAAGCCTTTACCGATCAATTTGTCATAGTCAATATCCTATCTGTTCCACAATATGGTGACCTTGGGTTACGCTAAATGGTAACAAAAATTTTAAGAAAAACCGGAAAAAACAGGGTTACAGACAATCTCGTGTTGCGAGTCCATGCAACAGATCACCATGAAACCCTCACCAATCAGAGCAGCACAGCAGGTATCCCATTTACTCCAGAACATGGTGATCTTGGATCAGGTCATTACGTGATCAAACGACCAAAACCGCCAAAATTGGTTGCAGACAACCCCATGCTTCAATCAGCGTGACACCTTCACCAGGCGATGCGTCATAGTCGATATCCTAACCTATTCAGAAAATGGTGACCTTGAGCCACGTAAAAGGTAAGCACAACCACTACACCAATGGCGTTCAAGTTAATACTCACCACGCCTTGACGTACTAATCGCATATGCATAATCGTTCATGATGAGCCCTGCACGTTTAGGTCTGGTCGCCGGCCTTTTATAAGAATGAACTCACTAATGTCTTATCTGGATGGTTCTGTGCTCTGTTAACGAATACAAGTTTTAAAAAGGTTAAAGGGTCTGTGGATGTC